CACCTAGTTAGAAGACATTACAGAAGATAGTAACAACAACAAAAAGTGTTTAGGAATTGCTTCAACAAAAATATGCAAGGTCTATAGAAAGAAAATTTCTAAATGCTCCCTCCTCCCTCATCACCTTATAAAAAATGTTAAACATACATAAAAGTTAAAATAATTGTATGAAGAACACCCATATACCTACCACCTTTATTCTATAATTAACATTTTTCTATATTTCACGAATACTATCTATATCAATTTGTAAATCTGTCACATATCTGTGCATAAATGCATCCTTCTATTCAGATAAAAATTCATCTTATTTTTTTAAATACTCTTTGGAGAAGCACACAAGAGAAGTCTTAAAATGAGAGGGGATTGTTGAGACAACAGAAAGACATCATCATAAATGTGTAAGCTTTCACTGTGTTAATTTACGAATTTAACATGATCCTAATTAAAATAACAATAGAGTTTGTAAAACTAGATAAAATTATTGTGATTCACATGGAAAAGCAAAGAAGAATCCAGGCAAGTTCTGGAAACAAAAATTAAACAGAGAGGGGAGTAAAAAAATAGCCTTAGCATATATTAAAATATGCTATAAAACTATAATAATTAAAACAGTATTGTAGTGACCCATGGGTGAGATCAAGGGAGCAGGAAAGAAAGTTGAGAAGTAGTGTGTGTATGTGCAAGAGTTTGGACTGTAACAATGGTGGCATTTCAAATCAGTGGGGGGGGGGGAATAAATGGGCTTAAGATGAGATAGAAAAAAATAAAAAATCTAGAATATACTAAAATTAGGACCCTGTATATTTTAGTTGGCAAAAAAGCACCAAAGCAAAGACAATATAAAATTAAAAAAAAAAAGACTGAGAAAAATATTTGCAATTCATCACACAAATAGTGCCCACAAATCAATAAGATGACAATCAATGAGCCAACAGGAAAACAGGTGGAGATTATGAGCCATCCATTCACAGAAAAGCAAACACAAATGGTTCTTAAACAAGCAAAAAGATGCTCAGTCTCCTCGTAAGAAAAATGCACATTGTAACCACAATTGGATTCTATTTGACCAACAGATTGACAGAGATCATGTTTGACCCCGGGGTTGGCAAGCCTGGGGAACGGGGGGCCAGGTGCACATTGTCACCCACAGCTTGTAGGAGCGTAAACTGGCCTCACTTCTGTGGAGAATAATTTGGCAGTATTTACCAAACTTTAAAATGCACAAACTCTTTGACCCAGCAATTCTAACTTCCAGATATCTACCCTACAAATATATTTTGCATATGTATGAACATGTTTATACTCTAAAAATATTCACTGCAACATTGCTTATAATAGCACAAGATTGGAAACAGCCTAAAAGTTCATCGTTTGGGTACTGGCTAAATAAATCATCATTCATCTAGATAATGGGATATTCTACAACAATTAAAAAGCTCATGTGGGCCAGGCACAGTGACTCACACCTGTAATCCCAGCACTTTGGGAGGCCCAGGTGGGAGGATCACTTGAGGCCAGGAATTCGAGGTTACAGTGAGCTATGATCGTGCCACTGCGCTCCAGGTTGGGTGACAGAATGAGATCCTGTCTCTAAAAATAAATAAATAATAAAATAACATTTAAAAAACCCATGTGGACCATCACCAACACCAAGATATATTGTTAGCCTGGGGTCACTAGCTGACTATAGACGCTGGCAGGTGGGAGTTTGAAGGCTAGGAGGGGGTCTGGACATTTCAAATTATAAGAAGCCCCCCTCCCCCATGCTATTCTTACACTGGGCACAAGGGGGAAAGTGGCCTGCAACTACCCTGGGGGTGCACTGAGGTTTATCTGAGCCTTCTGAGCAGAACCTAGGTACCCCCTTTAGGAACTCCCCTCCCCCAGCCTGCTGTTTCTCTACTGCCCCTCACCCCCAACCCCCAACAGCTGTGCCCTGAGGTCAAGTGTAGCCTGGCTCTGGCTTCACCTAAAAATCACAGCAATATTATTATAATAGGGGCCAGAATTTCCTGATGCCTCCCATGTGCCTGGTGTGGGCATGCGGGCACTGTGTTGGGGTTAGGAGCATCTTCTTTCTTTTAACAGCTTTATTGAGATATTACTCACATACCACCCAATTATTCACCCACTTAGAGTATGCATTCAGTGGCTTTCTGGATATTCACACGATTGTGCAACCATCACCACAATCCGTTTTAGAACATTTCCATCACGCTGAAAAGAAACCCATACCCAGTAGCAACCACTTCCCACTGTCCTCTCCCCCCAGCCCCGGGCAGTCTGATTTCTGTCCCTGGGGATTTGCCTATTCTGGGCATTGCATGTAAATGGAATCATGCCATCTGTGGCTCTTTGTGTCTGGCTGCTTTCACGTGGCACAATGTTTTCAAGGTCCATCCGTGGTGTGGCATGCATCAGAACGTCACTCCATTTTATTACCAAATTATGTCCCATTGTCTGGGTAGCCGTTCGGCAGCTGGTGGGCATTTGGGTTGTTTCCACTTTGGGGTATCATGAACGAGGCTGCCGTAAACACTCACGCGCGAGTTTTCACGTGGACGTATGTTTTCAGTTCTCTTGGGTAGAGACCTAGGAGTGGAATGGCTGGGCCGTGCGGGAACTCTATGTTTCACATAGGGAGGAACTGCCAGACTTTTCCAAAGCAGCCGCATCATGTCACATTCCCACCAGCAGCGTATGAGGGTTCCAGTTTCTCCACATCCTTGCCAACACTGGTTATGTCTTTCTGAGTCTAGCCTCCTCGTGTGTATGAAGTGGTATCTCATTGTGCTTGTGATTTGCGTTTCCTGGGCACATCCCCATTATACAGAAAAGGAAACTGAGGCTCAGACAGGCAAAGAGCCCGGCCAGAGGCCATGCAGCTAGGACGGGCAAAGGCAGTATTCTAACCCAGACACTCTCCTCTCCCCTCGCCTGTCTTCCCAGCGGAACAGGAAAAACCCCTCCAAGGAGATGGGGGACCCCTCTATGGAAGAAGGGGGCCAGAGACAGGACACAGGCTCTTGGAAGGGTTAGATGAGACCCTGTGGCATCTCAGAGCTTACCCCGGAAAGCCCTTCACTAGTGCCTGGTGCATAGTGGGTGCTCAGGACTGGTGAGTGCTGTTATCACTGGGACCTGGGCCATCCAGGGCCAGCCTTGCACTTGGACATTTCTGGACTGGACCAAAATTCATTGAATAAAGGCTAGCTACTGGCCGGGCGCTGTGGCTCACGCCTGTAATCCTAGCTCTTGGGAGGCCGAGGCGGGCGGATTGCTCAAGGTCAGGAGTTCGAAACCAGCCTGAGCAAGAGCGAGACCCCGTCTCTACTATAAATAGAAAGAAATTAATTGGCCAACTGATATATATATAAAAAAAAATTAGCCAGGCATGGTGGTGCATGCCTGTAGTCCCAGTTACTCGGGAGGCTGAGGCAGGAGGATCACTGGAGCCCAGGAGTTTGAGGTTGCTGTGAGCTAGGCTGACGCCATGGCACTCACTCTAGCCTGGGCAACAAAGCGAGACTCTGTCTCAAAAACAAACAAACAAACAAAAAAAGGCTAGCTACTGGACTGGGAGAGCCACAGGTCACAGACCATCCAGCCCTGGCACACCTGCATTCCGAGGCAGGCCCAGAGCCCTGCCTGCTTCATGGCCTGGTTAGTTCATGTCCCCATCCCTCCCTCCATCCGTCCTCCAACCCACCTGTCTCTGAACCTCAGTGTCCTCATCTGAAAGCTGACGCTGCAGCGCCTGCTTCTGGGCTGCTGTGGTGTACGAGGCCCGAGGTCTAGGGACCCAGGGCCAGCATCCACCACTGTCTCAACAACTCCCAGCCCCCACGTGGTGCCCACCGTGTCTGCAGGTGCCCAGGGGAGGGACCAGCTGGTGACGCAGGCTATGAGGGCTTGACCTGAGAGTCCCACGTCCACACGCCCTCAGTCAGATTCTCCGCAGGACCGTGGCTGGCAGGACCCCGTGCTGGGATGGGCCCTCCTCCCATGGTGGGAGGTGGGGGGGGGGGTCCGAGCCCGGCAGGACAGGACAAACAGCCTTCAGGGCTTAGGGAGGTCTGAGTTCAACAACCGCGTGACCTTGGGCAGGTTATGTGACCACTCTGAGCCTGTTTCCCCAACTATAGTAAGGGGACGATGCTACTCCACGGGAGAAAATGAGACCCTAAAATAAAGTGCTCAAACCTCCAACCTCCTCCCCTCCCGAGACTCCCGTGCTCAGGTGCGCAGAGACAAAGACTGGTGCGCTGATAGCCACGCTGCCGGCAACGGCGCTCGCTCGGAGCACACTCCAAATGCTTGTCAAACAGGATGGATAAATAAATTGATAAGTCGTAGGATATTCATGCAGTAAGACATTACGCAGCAATAAAAGTGAACAAATTAGACACATGTAGCAACATGGATTCATCTCACAAACATAATATTGCGTGAAAACTAGATACAGTGTGGCTCCATGCATATGCGGTTGCCAAAAATGGACAAGACTCAAATATATCGTTTGAAATGACATACACATAGGCGGTAAGACTATAAAAAGGACATTAAGAACGGGCTTACCTTAAAAGTCAGGACGGGTGGCTGCCTCTGAGAGAGAGGGAGGAAGGGGAAGGATGGGAAGGGGGGGGTGTTCTGCTCTGGGAGCCGTGTGTGGTAGCTGGTGGCTACACAAGTAGTCACTTCATCATTATTCACGAAACTCTGTAAGCATGTTTCATGCACTCGTCTGTCGGTGTGGTTATCTCAGAATCAAAGAATAATGCAAGTGCCTGGTAACCAGCTTGGAGCTAAACAAAGGCTGGTTGTTTGTCGCCTGCCCCTGTGCCCCCCAGCTCTGGTCCCGGCACTGCTGGGGGTGGGGGGCAGAGCAGGAGCAGCAGCTGCTGAGGGAGGCTTGGTGCAGCTGGCCCCTCCCTCCTCCCGCCACCCGGAGCCTAGGCACACACGCTCCCAGGCACAGAAAGACACTGCCCAGAGGGGTTTTTTAAACCGCTTTATTCAGGTTGGCTGGTAGTCACGGATTCGATCATGTATACAGGGCAAACCCACGCACCCCGAGGCAAAACCCTCGGCCCGCCCACCTCCCCCACTCCATCGCTGAGGGGTGGCCAGAGGTTGGAGCCAGTTTGAGGGGGTGTTGGGTGCAATAGAAATATTTACAAATCACCAGGGGGTGAGCAGACCCCTGATCAGGAATTGTGAGGGGGTTGGTACAGGGGGCCGCGGCTCCCAACAGCCCCAGGCCCTTGGGTGGACTTGGCAGGGGCCCCAAGAGGGGGCTGAGACACTGGGGGCTGGCAGAGGGGGGCTCCTGGGAGAGCCTTGAAGACCCCTGAGGGGGTCCTGCTGGTGCGAAACTCTGCACGGGGCGTGGGGCAGAGGGGCAGGGGGGCAGGGGGGCAGGGCCGTCCCTCTGACGGGCGGTGTGCCAGGCGGAGAGTCCCGTCCTCCGCGCCCCCGCTGGCCAGATGGGAGCTGCTCCCAGGTGTACGAAGGCTGAGCAGGAGGGACCCACGGGAGGCACGGCGCATCCTCTCCTCCCACGCCTGTGCACGACCTGCCGCCGGCTACGCCCCAGAAAGGCCCCCGGGAGCTGCGCACCCCAGTCGGTCGCCAACGGAACGGCCCTAGCTCCGCTCAGAAGACTCAAGTCCACGTCCTGGGAGGGGCCACTGTCCGCACCCGCAGGTCCAAGCGGGGGCTGGTGGGAAGGAGGGAGGTAAGGCTGGGAGGCCCCGGCTCAGGACAGGGTGGGGACAAGCAAGCAAAGCAAAACACTGGACTCCACGGAAGCTGGTGACAGAAAGGGGGGCGGCCCGGGCCCCACACGGTCCTCGCCCCAGCCTTCAGGGCGGTTGTCCCCTTGGTGCCCAGGGCCACCTTCTCCGAGCCAGGTAACCACAGGGGTCTGAGAGGGGAGGGGCGGGGGCTTACATGCTGAGCAAGGGGTGGCGGGCAGAGGCCGGCGTGGTGGCCCCGGCGGCCCGGGGTGGGAGGGCGGCTGGACGCAGGCAGTCCGGTCCCCGCGGGCCAGCGGCTCCTCATGCACTCTGTACAGCAGCGCGGGCGCCAGTCTAGGGGCTGCAGGCCTCCTGCTCCAGCGAGCGCTTCCTCAGCTCCTTGCCCGGCTTGGGCGGGGGCGGGGCGGGGGCGGCGGGAGGGGCTTCGGGCAGGTGCAGGACGGAGTTCTCTCCTGGCTGCACCCGCAGGTAGGCCTTGACCTTGTGGTGCCGGGCCTTGCCGTCGCTGAAGTCGATGACCCTGCACTCGTAGGTACCTTCGTCCGTGGGCTTCACCCGGGACAAGCGCAGCTTGTGGGAGATGTTGCTGCCCACCACCTTGACCACCTGGAGGCGACAGAGAGACCGTGACCTGTCTGCCCATGGGGGGCCGGTGAGGGGCAGGTGGGGGGGAGGTGGGGGGAATGGGTGGGGGGGAGCAGGGGGGCAGGTGGGGAGAGCGGAGGGGCAGGTGAGGAAACATCGCAGACCTCCCAACACTTTCTGCAGACCACAGAGAAGGCAGAGTGTGTCCTCCGACTCCGAGCTGGCTCGTATCCAGCCCCGGAGTGGTCTGCCCCCCCCCCCCCCCCCGGGGGGGGGGGGGGGGGGGGGGGGGAGGGGGGTGGGGCAGGGGGGAGTGGGGGTGGGGCAGGGGCGGGAGGGGTCCCAGGATCACATCTTAGGGCTGAGGTCCCAGAGACACTCCCGCAAGGGCACGCCAGGTTTGCACAAGAGTGAGTTAAGTAGCAAAAACAGTAGAAGCAACTTAAATGTCCATCAAATGGGCAAATACACAGTGGCTGGTTCAGCAGTGGAGGACTGCAGAGCCGTCAGAAAGGCGGCCTCAGGACCGGCATGGCAGAGCTCAGTGGCGAGGAGGGAAGAGGCCTCCCTGCGAAACTGCCCCAGTGTGATGCCATTTATGTAAATCAACACACGGAAATACTCTACACTTGTTTGCAGTCTTCTGTGTGCAGAAGTTTAAAATAGACGGGAGGGAACACAGTGGATGTCTCTGGGGGAAGGGTCTGGACCTAGGGTAGAAAAGTGAAGTCTTGGCTTAGTCTGAAAGTTACATTTCTTTCTTTTTTTTTTTTTTTTGAGGCAGAGTCTCACTCTCTTGCTCAGGCTAGAGTGCTGTGGCATCAGCCTAGCTCACAGCAACCTCAAACTCCTGGGCTCAAGCAATCCTCCTGCCTCAGCCTCCCTAGCACCTGAGAATATAGGCATGTACCACCATGCCCAGTTAATTTTTTTCTATATATTTTTAGTTAGCCAATTAATTTCTTTTTATTTTTAGTAGAGACGGGATCTCGATCTTGCTCAGGTTGGTCTCGAACTCCTGAGCTCAAACGATCCGCCCACCTCGGCCTCCCAGAGTGCTAGGATTACAGGCGTGAGCCACCAGGCCCAGCCTGAAAGTTATATTTCTTAAAAAAAAAAAAGGCTGATTACATACATTGCTAGTAACTTATTGCAGTTGGGGGAGCAGAAGTGTTTATTATGTTTATCTTTGTACTTTGGCTTTTTGTTTGTCTGTTTTATTTGATTGGGTTTAAAATGTTTTATTTTAACATGGAAGTTTAACTTACATACGGTCAAGTGCACACAGCCTGATGACCCTTCACTGTCACGTACACCTGACTGACCACCATCCAGAGCGAGGCGTGGAACAGTGATAAGCCTTCCTTGGCCCCACACCCATCAATACCCCAACCCCCCGGGGTTAACCACATTCTGGCTCCTGTCCCCAGAGATTAGCTTTCTTCTGTTTTGGAACTACACGTGTGGCTTCTTGCACTGTATGATATCAGTGAGATTCCTCCGTGTTGCTGCCCTTATCCATTTATTCTTATTCCTTGCTGTGTAGTATTCCATCACACGAATACACCACGGTTTGCTTATCTACTCCACCTATTGATGGACACTGGTGTGGTTTCCAGATTAAAGCTCTTATGAATAAATCTTCCCTGACTATAAAGCCACTGTGAACTTCTTTCAATGGAAACAGACAAGACAGTTGGATAGTTAAATAAGATATACCAGTGGGGACGCTGGGTAAAGGGCATGGGTGACTCAATGAGCTATTTTTGCAACTTCTGATGAGACTATAATTCAAAACGAAAAGTTTTTTTTAACAACTTCGGTACGAGCGTCGACTATAGTGGATAGCCACAGATGAACCGAGCGTCGACTTTAGCCCACAGCCGTGATATGAAGGTGCACAGCCGAGCGTTGACTTTAGTGTTAATAACAAAACTTCTACAACAGGACTCTGAATTGGGGCAATACAACCTTTGTACTGCATCAGAAAATCTCATGCGTTTTAGAGAAAGACATTTTCCAGCACCTTATAATAGTGATAAAACAAAAAGGAAAAATCTATTAAGAAGATGTATTGTATGCTCAAAAAATAATAAAAGGCGTAGCACTAGATACTATTGTAAACAATGTAATGTTGGCCTATGTGTAGCCCCATGCTTTGAAATTTATCATACCAAAGAATAAAATTTATTTTACCATTCAAAAACTTGCCTTATTTCTTTATGATATGAATGAAATAAACCTATAATTTTGGATTGACTTTTCTAATTTTTCATTTATCAAAATAAAATTGTGAACATTTAAAAATAACGTAATAAAAACATATATGTATGTGTTACCTATTCTGATTTACATTACAAGTAAAGCTGCCTGTAACGTAAAACAAGCTTTCAGTGCTTTAAGGCTTTCCTCATCACACAAGAGCAAAACGGATTCGTGGTCAATGCACAGCACAAACCGAAGTGGTTAAAAAGGGAGGGAGCTGGGCCTACGGAGTGAGGCAGTGGTGGGGGCAGGGGGCGTCCATCCATCCTGTCCCTTCTTTCTTAGAGCCAAAAAGCCCAGCTGCAGGTCCTACAGCCCCCGAACCACCTGGACAGGACATGGGGAGCAGTCCCCGGCTGCCAGCTGGCGACCGCCTTCCCAAACGGCTTTGTTCCCTGATCTTACACCTGCTGGTATCACAGGCCCAGGTGAGAGGGCTCAGACCTGTGGCCCCAGAGCTGAGACCTGCTGGTCCCTTTCAGCTGGAGGGACAAGAAGCTGGCCTGTTTCTGCCACGCCCAACTCCTGGAGGCGGAAGCCCAGCTGCTTGCCCCTGCTGGTCGCCCAGACGGCGGGCAGGGCCCTGGCCTCCCTAGGAGGCCTCTGTTCATCAGCTCCGAACGTGAACCTCCGGCCTTTGCACGCGCCGCCTCCTGCCCGGCGCTGCTGCCCGTCTGTCTCCACTGACTCCCGTTCGTCCCAAATGGCGCCTCCTCCAAGGATGCGACTCCCCTGTTGCAACCCCCATTCCCTGCATGGCCGTCGTCTCATTTTGAATTATTTAGTTTATTTGTCTGTGAACTTGATTTTGGTTTCCCTCCCTGGCTAAACCCTGCCCTTCATGGGGGCAGAGACAATATCTATTTCTTTGTGTGAGTGGCCATCACAGAGCCCACCCAGCACTTGGTAAACAATGGTAAACATTTGTTGAATGAATGGACCCACCCCATTACCTCCTTTCTCCAACTGAAGTGGACCCAGCTGTCATGCTGCCCGATTGTAAGTCACCTACACTAGTATGCCCCCTTTGCAGATGGTGAAACTGAGGCTCCAAAGGCAGAAATGACTCGCCCAGGGGTCTGAGCCAGGGAGTGGCAGAACCGGGAACTGAACCCAGGCTTGACTCCACGCACTCTCCGCCTCCCCGTGGTGTGACGGGCTCCCAGAGGGTCACCCAGAGCTGGCAGGGCTCCAGAGGGAGGGGTGCGGGGCGGGCAGCAGCAGGGAGCCTGGCCCCTCCTCCCTATGCTGGGCTTCCCGGCTCGTCACCGTCCCTGCAAAGCAGGAAGCACGGGCAGCAGGAGGCACCGAGGTGGGACACAGGCTGAACTTCCCAAGGCGAGCAGTGGGGCCTCCTCCAGCCGCCCCTGTGGGTGCGGGGCGCCCCCTCCCCAGTGCCAGGCCCAGCTGGGCACCCCCTCCGTCCTGCTGGCTCCCTCGCCTCTGACCAAGGGCGCTCAGAGGCCCGTGGTCCTGCCGCGCTCTCGGCGCGTGGGGAGATGCTGCTGCAGTCTCGCAGCGGGAGGGAATTGCCTCAACATCTGTTTCCCTCACGGATATTAATTATCCTTCATTTGTCAACCCTACAAGGCGCTAATGGAGTAATGATGCAGAGCTCTGGGAGCACGTGCGCCTAGGGAGGGGGGCCCGAGTGCAGCCCGCCCCGCCCCCGCGTCCCTCCCATCCTCCAGGCGGGACCACCACGGCCTGGACAGTCCCCAGCAGCAGCCGGCTCCCTCCCACTCTGTCACCTCCTCTGCCACCAGACAGATGTGGCCTCTTCCCCTCTCAGAGAGGAGGAGGGCAGGGAGCGCTGCAGGGGGTGGTGGGACGCCAGGCTCTGACCCGGACAAGTCACCAGCACCCTGGCCTCAGTTTCCCTGGGCTAGAATCATCCGTGCATTCAACAGGCATTCAGCAAGCGCCTCCTCTGAGCTGGCCGCCGGGATACACCCAGGAGCCAGCCAGACCCCAGCCATGCCCGACGGCTGAAGGTCTGAGGGAGAACCCAGACCTCACCCCGAACTCCAGCAGCGCAGTGGGCCAGCGTCCGACAGGGCGGAGGGTGAGGACGCACACACACGCTGCTGCCTCCCAGCCCCAGGGCTCTATGTCTCCAGGCACAGTCTGGAGAAGGCAAATAACAATGCTTTTAACAAAAACCATAACAGCAGCAATAGAGTGCTAGTAGCTAATGTTTATGGAGCACTCAGCCACTGTGAGATAATATGCTAAAGCTTCATCAATCTTATTAGTATTATTTTTTTTTAAAGAGACAGGGTCTCGCTCTGTTGCCCAGGCTGGAGTGCAGTGGCGCGATCATAGCTCCAGGCTCCATGGATCCTCCTTCCTCAGCCTCTGGAGTAGCTGGATCTACAGGCACGCACCACCATGCATGGCTAATTTTATTTATTTTTTGTAGAGAGGGGGGTCTGGCTATGTTGCCCAGGCTGGTTTTGAACTCCTGGCTTCAAGCGATCCTCCCACCTCGGCCTCCCAAAGTGCTGGAATTACAAGCATGAGCCGCCACACACCCAGCCCATCAATCTTATCTAAATCTCACAATAACCCCATGATATAGTAGGTATCTGCTAAGATACCCATTGTATGGCTGGGGAAACTGAGGCTCAGAGAGGTGAAGTGATTTTCCCTAGGCCACCCAGCTGGTGACAGAGACCAGACCTTGACATCTCTGAGGAGCCTCCTATGAACAGCAAACTACAGGTCTGGCTTCTCACCTTGCCCCCAGGTCCTCGACCCTCCATATCTCGGGGGAGGGAGCTCAGCCCCAAACCTCATCAGAGGCCTCTCCCTGGGAGGGGCCCCACGTCCCACCCTAGCTTCTTGGGGGTGGCAGGAGCAGCCTGCGTGATGTCACCATTCACACATGTACAGAAAGCCCATGGGCCCAGCCCTCCCGTGCGACCGGAGAGCCTGGGAAGAGAGGAGACCCCACACGCGGCCACGGCGGCCGGCTGTAAATCATAATCACCTGGCACGGGCATCGGGCATCGACAGGCCCTAGCAGTGCAATTAAGCACCTAATTACGCTGAAAGAGACAAGGCCAAGTCCTCGCCGTGGCCAAGTTCAGCCTCCTCCCTGCCGCCGTGGCCTGGGCCTTTCCGGCATGGCAGGGGCACCCCTGGGCCAGGTCGCGGTGGGCAGGCTGGGATCTTCCCTGCCGGCCAGGCCAGGAAGAGTGGGTGGCGCCAGTCGGTGCCCTCGCGTGGCCTCCTGGCTGGGGTGGCGGCCCCAGCGAAGGTGCTGGGCTGGGGAACAGGGCTCAGATGGCCCCGCCCCAGGCCGGGCTCTGCTCTGGGCCTCCATCAGCTCAGCCGCTGCCTCGCCTGCCCTCAGCGAGTTCAGAACCCAGCTTGGCCACAACACACCCTGCACGTCGCCGTCCCTGCTTTCCTTCCACTCTCTGCACACCCCATCCCTGAATCCCTCTGGTCTTCCCTCTAAACTCACGACCCCTTCCCCTTCTTTCCAGAATCTGTAGCCCCCAGCGCTGGCCAAGGCCAGTCCTGGCTTCTCTCATCTGGGCCATCACCCCGGCCTCCTCCTTCGGACTCCCCAAGCCGCTCTGGCTCCTTCCAACCTCTTCTTCCGTGACAGCCAGACACACCTTTCTGAAATGCCCTCAACTCGAACCCCCAACTTGTCCCCTACCATGGCAGACAGCCACACCGGCCCCCAGCAATTCCTCCGACATGCACACCCAGCCAACGCCCTTACTCCTCGGCAACTCCACCACACTTCAGTGCTCACTTCAAACAGCACCTCCTCCAGGAAGCCCTCCCGGCCCCCAGGCTAGGTCAGGTCCTCTCTCATTTGGATGGTCAGGGTTGTAATTCTGCTTTTTCTCATGCATGATGACTGGAGTAACACCCACCTCGAACGCTGGGCTGGGAGCTCCCCGTGTGTGTGTGTGTGTGTGTGTGTGTGTGTGTGTGTGTGTGGCCTTCCCAGAGACCCCTTCCGTTTGGCTCAGCCACCAAGCACAGTAATGACGTCCCCTGGGAAGGCGGCTATGTGTGGAGAATGTCACCTTGTCTGAAAATTAGGAAGTTGGGGGCCATCTCTACTTGCAAAACTGGTAAAGGGAAATTAACCTCAATTCTAGCACAAAGGGCTTTAGTTAGATAAAAAGAAAAACTTCTATAACTTGCAGATGGCCAGTAAGCAGACACGTTTGCCCGAGCCACAGGAAAGAGGCCCTGCGGCGGGACCCTCAGCATATGCCAACCACCCAGGGGGACATCTGTAGGCCAGGGGTCCTCCCCAGGCCCCCAGTTAAAGGACATAATTCATGTTAAGTGCTCATCACGGTTCCTAACATATGGGAGGCACTCAATAAATGTTAGCGGCTATATTATTATTATTACTATTATTTTATCCCAGATGCCCGTCCTACCACATATACCATCTCCCTGTGAGATGCTGAGCTCGTTTCCGTTCCTGCCCTCCTGCTAGGAAGGGGAGTCTTACGATTCACCAGTTCACACTAATACATTTCCACCCCAGCAACCACGGTCATTCACACGGCCGAACCCACGGCACTTTACAGTTTCCCACGTGCTTTCATGTGTGCCTTGGACACCAGTGAATGGGGAGACGCAGGGAAGTGGCAGAGCCGCCACCGGGACTCGGGTCCCCGGATGGTAAGTGCTGGCCTCACTGTGCCCTCACAGTCCCCACCCGGCCGTCAGCACAGCTGACTCTGAACCTTCCCAAGGTCAACCTGGCCACCCCGATGGGGTCACGGAGCCCTCCCCACACCCAGCCCCTCCAAGCTGACAGCACTTCCTTCTCCTGGAGCCTGAAACCCCACGGGCTGCGGGGCTCACACAGTGTTTTTCGAAAGATCAAATCGGGTCCCCACCGTTAAAAGTCAGGAGCTATTCCGTGAGAACTGGAATTGTTAGCAGACATGGGAGTCTTGGGGCTGGATTCCTGCCTGGTTCAGTCGCCCCCTGTGGACAAAGGGTCTGGGGCTTCCCAGGGCCCCGCTGTCCCCAAACGACCTCCTGCACCCACATCACCCGTCCACACCTGTGTACAGGCGTGGGCTGTACGACGTGGTGGCATGTCCGTGTACAAAAACCCGTGTACGGGGGTACACACACATTGGCCTGGGCGTTGCATTTGTGTGCGTGATACTTACTCAGTAAATACGTACTGGGCACTGACTGCGCCGTGCCAGGCTCTGTGCTGGGCCTGGAAAGGCCAGGGTGAGTCAGGCAGGCACCGTCCTGGCCCCACCGTCTCTGGGGGAGACAGTCGTGAAGCAAATAACGCAAATGCATAGTGACTACAGGAATGCGGCCGGTGGGGGAAAGTGAGGCACAGGGCTGGGTCACCGGGTCAGAGGAGGCTTCACTGAGCTGTGCTCGGAGGGGGAGAGAGAGGAACAGCTTTCCAGGCTGGGGGTCTGGCCGGGGCAAAGTCCTGGAGGGAGGGAGGCAGCCAGGGCTGTGATGGGAGTGGAGTGAGCTTGAGCGAGGTGAGCTGAGCCCGGAGCATGGGCAGAGCAATTGGACAGAGCCTTGAAGGCCACAGAGGAAAGTTTGAGCAGCCCTCCCAGACTGCAGGAGCCCAGGGAGTGCATCTGCATACAGGTGTCTGTGCCCGGTTCTTCAATCCTTTGAGTAGCGTCGTCTGCATGCGGGGCCTGGCACATGCCTGCGTGTTTGCTTCCCACCCAGACCCTCGGAGCCCCAGCTGGTGCAGGAATTGCAGGGGCTGGGGGTGGGCGAGTGGGGGAGATTGCACAATCACGCTGAGCACGTTTATTTTATTCAACTAATTAGCATCGTTGCATTCCCCTCACGTGGGACCCAGCAGCCTTGAATTCTAATCCCCTAACTCAATTAGATTATTCTCTCCTTTGCCTCTGCCACTCCTGAAACCCCAAACAAAATCACAGGAGAGTTGCCATGGATGGGGTGTGTTAATACGCACACAGATCGCTGCCTGCCCGGGCTTACTTGATGGGTGTTTGGGCAAGAAACGGGGCATTGGATATGGACGTGCCCCTGGCAGGGGGTGGGGCTGGACCCACAGCTGCCCTGAGCTGGAAATGGCTTGAATTTCCAGCCCCAACCGTGCCCCAGGCCAGACGGCACAAATGATGCTCTGAAGGTCCCTCCTCTCCCATCTGCTGGCCCCCTGCATGAGCGGCTGCAAGAGCCTCCCCCCAGCCTCCCCACCTCCGCTGCCACAATGATGCCTGACCCGGCACACCCTGTGTCCCCTGGTGCCCACTGTCTACACCACTGCCTCTGGTTTGAGGGTGGGGCTCCTCTGCTCATCTGTGTTCAATCTGCCTTGGAGTCCTGAGCTCCCTCACAAGTCCTTGAAAAGCTGTGGAAGAGCCATGCATAAAAGAGTGAATTTGGGCCAGGCGCGGTGGCTCACGCCTATAATCCTAGCACTCTGGGAGGCCGAGGTGGGAGGATCGCTTACAGTCAGGAGTTCAAACCAGCATGAGCAAGAGCGAGACGCCCCCCGCCTCCTACTAAAATAAGAAAGAAATTGGCTGGACAGCTAAAAATATATAGAAAAAATTAGCCGGGCACAGTGGCGCATGTCTGTAGTCCCAGCTACTCGGGAGGCTGAGGCACTAGGATCGCTTGAGCCCAGGAGTTTGAGGTTGCTGTGAACTAGGCTGACGCCACGGCACTCACTCTAGCCTGGGCAACAAAGCGAGACTGTGTCTCAAAAAACAAAACAAAAATGAGTGACTTTGGAGAGGTCACTGCCCCAGCACACATGCTCATTCAGCCCCCCACGGGCACCTGCCTTGTCTGAGCATGTTGCTGGTGGACGTCTAGCCTCCTGGCAGGCTGATCTCTCGCCCATGTGCAACTCCCACCTGGTTGCATGGCCACATGCATGTCCAGGCCAGTCCCCTCCATTCCGTGTTCTCACCTCCTTTCTCAATCCTGTCTGCCTCTTCCAGGACCGGCTTTGGGTGCCCCCCTTCACAAAACTATTACTCCCTGAGCTCTCCTGGGCCCCCAGCCACAGTGGGCTCCTGCACAGCTCTGAAGCCAGGCAGCTCGGCAACACCAATCACTCTTGCTGTGACCTCCAGCAAGTCCTTGACCCCTCTGAGCCTCAGTTGCTCCACCCGTAAAATGGGTGAATGCTTGGCCCTGCCTATAGAGCGTGGCTATGACACAATGAATCAATGCATAAGAAGGCCCGGCCAGCTGGGATGCCCTTTGGCTGGAGAGCCCCTGACCTGTCCCTGGGGCCAGATCACAGGGTGACCATGAGATGCTGCAGCCATCCGTCATGATGGGCCAAAAAAAAGCCGGCTCAGTCTCATTAGACCTGTTGGTTTCCCCAACAAAAAAATGCTGCTGAGATAGGCAGGAAGCATCGGGGCGTGCACAGCCTTGGCCCCGACAGGAGAGAATGCATCTTCTCTCTCCTGTCATTTTTTTGTGCCTGTGATTCACCGAACTTGAAAAATCTCTGGCTTTGAAAAAACAGAGCAAGGCCATATTTTCCCCTTCTGTTTTTCTTCTCTTCCATCTTCTTGCCCAAGCTCCCTGCTGAACTGGACCCCCAAAATTGTTTTAAAGTCACAGCTGTGCCCTCCATTAGAGCCCTTGCAAGAAATCATTTTCAAAACTCACACTTATTTTGGTCGCGTCCTTCCCTGTGTCTTCCTGCTGAGATGCTTTTAGCTGTTGGGAGCAGGGAGGGGCGGAGAGAGCAGAGACACGGTGTTAGCACGGGGTGGCGGGAGACCCACGGGGGTACAGACCACAGCGAAGATTCTAGCTGCGGCAGAGGGCACTCAGGGGCCCGGGGCCTGGAGTCGGGGTCCCTCGGCTCTCTGTGTCTACTCAGGGCATGGAGGGGGGTGGTCAGAGCAATAGATAAAGGAGATGCATGTCAAACTGTACGTGCTGTGCATTTAGGAATGTGGGGTGATTCAGTATATAAGGTGTGTGTCTTGTGAACAGGCAAAAACCTACGTGTCAGCGCGGTGTGTCAGTGGGAGTGTGTCTGTCTGCACCCTTCCTTGACTCTGCGTGAGCGTGTGTATGCTCTCAGGTGTGTCCCGTGTGTGGACCTGCGTTTGCAGCAGATGCTGTCGGGATCCAGCCCACATGTCCTTCCCCACACACCTGTGGCCGTGGGACCCCGGAGGCTTCGAGCTGCGAATACCTACAGCTCTTTGCCTAAGGGCTGTCTCTGCCCACCGAGTCCCCGCTGAACCTGCGGGTGGCAGGCTGGAGAAGGGCTGGGGCGCTGACACGCCAAGAGCGAGGCGGAGTGGTAGGTTCCTGTCTAAGAGGCTCTTTCATGAGCGCGGGGGCAGCACAGGACACGCGTGAGTCCTGCCATCGGAGCGCCGGGGAAATCGGGCCTTTATCCTCCAGCTCTTGGCGGCTGTTGGTTGGGGCTCCGCCCGCCCGCCGTGCCGCCCCAGGCTCTGCTGTCCAGAGGCGACCCGAGGGCAGAGTCACCGCAGTCGGCAGTCGGCAGCGGGGCTGGTGGACGCCCGGCATGTGGCAGGGCACCCACAGCATCTGCTCTTCCGGTGCACGCGAGAGCACGTGCGTGTGGAGAGGTGGGCGTGCGTGTGGATGAACTTGGGAATGAACTCAGAACAATGCCGCCCAGGTTCGTGCAGCCCGGTACAAAATGACTGCCTGCCTGCCCGTGCAGCCCGGAGAAGTGGTGGAAAGCGAGTCACGAGACCCCACCTGACCCCACAGCCTGGAGCCTGCTTGTCCCTCTGGCCTCAGTTTCCCCACCTGTACATGAAGGGGGACCTTTGTGCTCTTCGGAGCACAGCCCTTCTTGCTGTGGCCCTCTCAGGTGCTAGCCTAGCGCAGTCTCCCACCCCCGCCCCAAATAAGCCTCCATTCTGGGGACGGTGGTGTCAGCCACCATCATCCCATAAAACCGCCGCCGCAAGGGCGCAGGGGGAGGAGGGCAGACAGCGGTGTGCTGCGGAGGACAAGGAGCTGGAGCCTGTACCCGCGCCCAGCCTGGGGACCCGGACTCCCCAGCCCAACCGGCGTCTCCCCGGGGCTGTTACCTGGCCGGAGGCCCAGGCCTGCTTGTCAGTCCAGTCCCGGTGGCTGCGCACGTACCACCACTGGATCTCCAGCGAGTAGGAGGGGGAGCCGCTGCCGCGGAAGGAGCAGGCCATCTCCACGTCCTCGCCCGTCCGCGCCGTCATGTCGTGGGGGGTCTCCGTGAACAAGGCTGTGCGAGAAACGGGGGAGTGAGCGGCGGGGCTCAGGAAAGAGCAGGGCGGTGGGGGACCGAGGGCTGGGGGGCGGAGGGGGGAGCGGCGGGGCCTGCAGGGTGGAGCAGGGAGAGGCAGGTGCCCACCGGGAGGCCCAGAGGGCCCGTGTGCAGCAGCGGAGACGGGGAGGAGCAGGTCCCGGGCCCTGAAGGCCACATGGTGACGCCTGGCGGGTCAGGGGAGGGCAGGGCCGGCAGCTGTAGCCAGGGGGCAGAGGCCCCGGAGGAGGCTGCCTCCTCAGTTCTTCCCGATCCCTCCAGAAGCCCACTCGGCTCCCTGCCGGATCTTCCCAGCCCCTGTGCGCAGCAGCCAACGCCGTCTTTGTAAAAGCAAGTCAGACACGGCCTCTCCCCTGCTCAGAACCCTCCCGTGGCTCCCGGCGCCCCTGGGATAAAACCCAGACTCCCCTGGTTCCCTCTCTGTCCTGTGATCGTGCCTCGATTTCCCACACCACCTCTGCCCCGCTGTTCCCCGCCACCTGGAACGTCCCTCCCTGACCCCTCTTTGCCCAGCTGGCTCCCCCAGCCCCGGCAAAGGGCAGGGCACACACTGCCCCCCCCAGGGACCGCTGTCCCAGCGAGGTGGGCCCTGCGATTCCCCTCTTCTCACCCGAGGTGGGAGCCACCCCCGCCCCACCCCCACAGATCCCAGGGCAGGCGGTCCGACCCTGAAGGGCCCGCCCCACGCGCTGTCCTGCCACACCGCCAGGTAAATGAGAAAACAAATCCCTACTTAATACGGCCCAGCGCCCCTCCCCGCCATATGTTCTGTCTCTCGTCTCCCCAAACAAATATTGTCCTGAGATGTAATTAGAATTCTTCCCTCTTCTCGGGAGAGATTATCTCGCCCTGGAAAGATGCCTGGCAACGTGCAGGTCACCCAGGGAACACTGTGGCTGTCAGTCCCATCCCCCACTGTGCCCCCTCTGGCTGCCGCAACCGACAGGCACCCCCTGCCCGGAGGGGCAGCTGTGCCGCCTCCCAGCCCCAGGGTCGCTCCTGCCCCAGCCCAGCTCAGCAGGGGGAAGGGGAGCCCTGGGCGGGGAGGCAGAGGTCCTGGATTCGAGCCTCGCTCTGAGGCTACCTGCCTTGTCCCCAGGAAACCAAGGGCTTTGAGCGGTGGGGACGGACCAACGCCTGCACCAGGAAGCTTTGCCCGTGTCTGCTCTGCCCACAGGGCTCCGCGTGCAGCTCTGCTGGAGCAGTGGGCTTCTGGGCTACGAGAAAGTTTGAAATGTCCCTGATCCCCAAGGTCAAAGGTTCATAAAACACTTCACGGAGACGCGCCCTGTCCTCTGAGGTTTGGGGGTTCGGCCACTGTCACGTAAACGGAGCCTGTTTCATAAGAATAAATGCTGTTGTGTTACTGAACACACACCGGGGACGGCGGAGCTGCCCTGACACAGTCAATCAACCTGAAAGCTGTGACTGTCCGTGCCCCACGGGCAGGTGGCAGCACCCGCAGCTGGAGGGAAGGACCTCGCCCACCCCCAACCCCCTCGCAGCGAGGGCCCGGGCTCCCAGGAGTTCAGGCCAGAAACTCCAGCCATCCGTCTCCCTCTTATACCCACGCGGTCTCCGGGGAGTCCTGCGGGCTTCTCCCCACCTCCCTGGCCACCGTAGCGGGGCCACCTCCTCACTGGCCGCCCGGGTCCACTCTTCCTCCTCCATGACCTGATTTCAACACAGCAGCCAGAGGCCACTTGGCAATACACAAATCGGCCCCTGTCCCTTCTCTATTCCAAACCCTCCCATGCACCCGGAGTAAAAGCCGAAGTCTCTAAAATGGTTGACCAGGCCCTCTGCGTGGGGCCGCTCCCCTCTGACGTCCACTGTCTACCTGATCCCTTGCTCACTCTCTTCCTGCCACAGTGGCCTCCTCGAGCACTCCAGCAGAGATCCTACCGCAGGACCTTTGCACTTGCTGAGCCCTCTGTCTGGAAGCCTCTTCCCCCAGATTCCCATGGAGCTCCCTCCCTCCTATGCCTCAGGACTCTGCTCAAAGGCCACCTCCTCCAGGGAGCCCACCCGGACCACCTCCCTTAAACCCAGCACTCTAAATCACCCTTCCCTTCCAACACCATCGGTGCCAACCTATTGCTGTGATGAAGAGGATGTTCTAGACTGAGCTGGTACAGTAGCCACCAGCCACATACGTCTACTGAGCACTTGAAATGCGGCCGGTGTGACTGAGGACCTGAATTTTAAATTTTATTTAATTTACTTCATTTAAACTTAGATGTTAATAGCCACTTGTAGGTAATGGCTGCTGCACTGGACAGCACAGCTAATGTGCTTGTTTATTTGTGCTTATTGTCAGCCCTGCCTTCCGGGAGGCAGGGACCGTCCCTGTCTTGTCCACTGATATAGCCCCAGCTCCTAGAATAGCGCCCGGAACATAGCAGGTGCTCAGGAAATACTTTCTGAATGAAGGAAGGAAGGAATGCACACGCATGGCTGGGCAGCAGTGGAGCTGGGTCCAGAGCGGGGCCACCCTGAGAGTCCTGGGCCAGGCCCAGCCCTTGGAGCGTTCCCTGACGGGCCTGAACTCGAGGGGGCTGTGCAGAGCCTGAGCCACCAGCAGGGCCAGAGTGATCAGAGTGGGCCGTTGGCCCCGTGCCCCGGGACAGTGGCTTCTGCCTTGACTCACGCCCCTCCTGCCCAGCGCCAAGGCCCCTTTGCAAACAGGGGAAGGAGGGGAGTGGCGAGGCCCCCAGTTGGACCCCAGGTGACCAGCAGTGTGACGCTGGCTGGCCAAAGACAGTGGGCAGGACACAGCGGTGACCTCCTCCAGCTGCTGTTGCCTGAGCCACAGAAATCAGAAAGTGCCACACTGCGCTGCTCTGGAGCGCTTGGGGGCTTGCTCGACCTGGGGCACAGCGCCAGGAAGGGCGGTGTCGCCCCTGCAGCTAGGCCTGCGTGACTCGGCCACCGCACTGCCCTGCCCCGGAAACAGGCAAAGGGATGGAAGGAGCTCGTGTGGGGCTCGTGGGTGGAAGGAAGGGCAGGGTGGGCTGTCCTTGGGCAGGGGAAGGGGGTTCTGCCACAGCTATCTGGGGAGGGGCTGGGCCTCCATCTGTCCTCAGTTTCCCCCCACCCCCATGTCCTCCCAAAACTGATGGAAAACCCTGGCCCTGGGCCACCAGCTCTTTTTACTGATGTAGAAAGCAAAGCCCAGAGAGAGCAGTGTGTCTGGGGTGACCCAGCAGCCAGGGCTCAGTGAGGCGAGTCCCCAGGCCCTGAGTCCTTGCCAGGCCCTCTCAGCCCCAGACAGACCCCAGCCTGGAGCCTGCAGGGGACAAGCACATGGCGGGGGACCCCAGCACACGGCCGCCCTCCCCAGTGACGGCCACCGAGGGCGGGGCCGCCCAGCAGAGACAGGACTCACGAGGCACATGCAGAACTTTCCATCTTCTGGTAGCCACATGAAAAAAAGTAAAAAAACAAACCAAACCGAAAAAAAAAAAAAAGACAGGTGAAATTAATTTTAATGACGTATTTTATTTAACCTCAGGTATCAAACATTATTATTTCAGCATGTAATGAAAATTACTAATGAGATGTTCCATTCTTTTCTGGTGTCAGCTGTGGGAAACCGGAGTGCATGGTACCTGCTCGCGCACCTCCGGGTCCCCACTGGCCACTTTCCCCGGGCTCAGCGGCCATGCGGGGCAGGCGTCCCGGCAGGGGGTGCGCTTGCCAGCCTCAGGTCCCCCCACCGTCCCATGGCCCAGAGGAGGCCCAGTGCAGGGAGACACCCTCCACGGCCCGTTTGGCTCCCAAGTCCCTGTTCTTCCCAGACCATTCATGCTCTTTCTGCTTGTAGAGCTCTTTCTGCAAAAGGCACAGTCCCCGGTGGCCAACCTTGCAGAGTCCTGCCAGACAGGGTGGGGAGTCGTTCCATTCTGAGCACAAAGACCTGGAGAAGAGGCATTTCACCCCACCGGGGGCAATCAGGGGAGGCTTCCCTGAGGAGGTGTTGCCCCTGCCTCAGCCTCAGCTGTGCAGGTAGTCCTGAGCTGGGAGCAGGGAGGGGCTTCGGGTTGGGGGACATAGAGGATCAGGTCCAAGGCTGGTGGGAGCCAGGTAAGGCGGCTGTGGGTGCGGCCACCAGCTCTCCCTCCCACAGGGGGCTCTGGACCCGGGGTCTCTCTGATCCCCTCAGACCCTGCCAGGAACTGCCTAGGCAGGGTGGGGAGGTCCCCACAGGTGAAGGGGACAGCGTGTCCATAGGACAAGTGGGGAAACTGAAGCTCTGGGCATTTGATGGTGAATCTGAGTCCCTCTGGCCACAGGTCTATCCCGGGCCCTGCCCCAAGCAGCCCCAGAGGGAGAAGCCTGTGGGTGCAGGTAAGCACCAGGAGCATCAGACTGGGGCCGGGGTGGAAGACAGAGCCTGTTTCTGCCAGCAGACTTGCTGTGTGGCCTGGGGAGGATTTCTCCCCTCTCTGAGCCTCAGTTTGCTCCTCCATACAATGGGGTCAGTCCTGATGTCCCAAGAGCCCCACCAGCTCAGACGATCTGCAGGACAAGGTGTGTGTCCCGTCCTTGGGCACGGAAAAGGGGAGGGCCACTTCCACTTGGAGGAGAAGAGGAATCTGCGAAGGCTTCGGAGAGGCGTAGGCAACAGGCCAGGCCTTGAAGGATGGGCGGAAACCAACAAGCAGAGGCCAGTAGGAAAGTGTGTCAGGTGGCAGGAACCTTGTGCGCAAAGACGGGAGGAGGGAAACGCCGAGAGTTTTGTTTAAACAAACCCAGTCCAATTACTGAGCGCCCACCACGTGCCCTGCACCAGGCAGACATTGGCTCTGACGCTCTCTGGTCCACGCCCATTTGACAGATGAGGAAAGTGAGGTTCAGAAAGTGACATGACTTGCCCAAGATTCACACACTGCAGGATTTTAAACCTAGGTCTGACCAGCAGCTGTGACCAAGATCCATCGGTCTGTCGGCCCCAA